CGCCGCGCTCGGCGTCCGCGTCTCCGGCCGGGCTGCGCCCGGCGCCGTCCTCGCCGCGATGAAGCGCCCTTGCGAGGAGACGACCTCCGAGAGCGACATGGACGAGACCATCGACGTGGGAAGCGAGAACAATTACTCGGGGTGAGCGCGGGCTCGGCGGGAGCTGCCCGGAGCCCGAGGCGTCGGGGATCTTTGTGTGGGAGCCGCTCTTGGAAATCCCAAGGCGCCTTTCCGCGGGGTCCTAGCGGAGAGGGGAAAGTTTTGCCCGAGAAACGTGGAGTGCTGGGCGCTCAGGAGCCTGCGTCGGGTGGGGCGGGGGTGTCGGTTTCGCTCGAGGGTGGGACGCGACTGAAAGTGCCGTGGTTGACGAGGGATGGTGCCCGGCTGTCAGCAGGGGGCCGGCGGACCGACGGGTCCCGGCGACCGGCGACTCCAACTGTCGAAATGCGCCAAGAGCAAAGAAAAGCAAATTGAAATTTTTAAAGAGACTGGAAAGATAACTTGCTTTCTGGAAAAACTAAAGCAATTTGCGATGTCACGGCTAAGTAGGTTGAGCTTTCCAGGGTGACCGTGTGTGACCTGGCTGACAGGGGAGTGAGTGACAGATGGAAGACTCTTTGGGGCATCATCTCTCTGACTACTTGCTCGTAAGTCTGGAAGAGATCGGGGTCGTGATCACAGAAGCCAGACCTCCGCTTTCCAGTGACAGAGGGAGATTACCGAGGCATTTTAGTGCCAAGGCGGGTCAAATGATAATTGCTTCTAATTGGCATCCCCAGAAGCACCTTAATTATTTATCTGCAACTGTCACTCAAAGAGCAAAATTCTTCCTACCTTTTGGAAAACTTTCAATACTGCTTTTTTCTTTCAATCCTGTTGTTCTAACACGTACAAACCAAAGCCTGGTATCAGCAAGCGCAACGATATTTCCATGAAACAATGTTTGCAAAGTACCTTCTAATTATTAAAGTGTGTCATCTTAAAAAATAAGATCAGAAAAACGGAAGGTGTCATGTGAAAAGCGAAACCAGTTGAGAATGGGTGGGAATGAGGAAGACAGTTAATTCAGAAATAAGATCCAGAAGTGAGATGAGGTAATAAAAACCTGGTGTGTGCAACATTTCTAAAATGAAAGCACAAATAACAGGAACTCTGGAGAATCTGAGAACATAAAGACGCATAGAATCCACGAATTATGAAGAGTAACAGACAAACTAGAAAGGATGGCAAAAATTCTAAGTGGCAAAATAATGATTTGATTTTCCTTTCAATATAAAATATATTTTCATTAGGAAGCTCAAGGTGAATTGCAGCTTCTAGAAGTTATTTAAGTTTAGGTTGAAGGCACAGAGATACTCACCTACAACTTTCATTTACATAGTAGTTGATCTCATTTTAATTTTTCTATCAGTGGCATTTAATTTGGGGTGTTCTTTTGGAAGATTAGTATACAGACCATTAAATTTGTCATTTTTTTTCCTGTTGTGAGATTTGACTAATTGAAACAGTAAGATAACTTGTGTTTATTTTAAAGATTGCATCTAGAGACAATAGTTTGACAGGTGATGACTATATATCTGTTTGATAGTGGTGCTAAACGTGGACTTTATTTTAAAATAGCTTTGCTTTGTTCAGTACGTCTAACCGGAAAGAAGAGGAGGGTGCTATTAGAGATTAGTTGACTATTAAGAAACATTTATGAGTGGTACTAGGAAGTAGTAATATCTAATTTCTCACCTTGACTGCCCGTAATTATTTTACTAGGAGACTTAATAAAAGTTTAGGGATGTTTTTGCCGATGGATTTGCCATCTAAATTACTCATTAAAACTTAAAAAAAAAGGGGGGCGCATGATTCCTACCTGAAAAGAGATATATAGGCTGAAAACAAAACAAAGTATGTTAAGAGTAAAACAATTAAGAATAAAATAGCACAGACCTAAACTGCACAATCATTCTCAATATTTAATGGGCGCCATCAAGTACTCAGAAGAAACCATTGTTATGTTAATGCAGCACCTGACATACTCTTCCTATTTCATAGGCAAAGTTCTAGCTCTGTGATTAGATCAAATTCTCCAACAACAACATCTCAGATTATGGCAAGAAAGAAAAGGAGAGGGGTATGTGATTTTTTTTCTTTTTATTTCATGTAATCCAGCCTAATGTGTAACAGTTGTGTTTTTCCATTATGAGTAATTTTATCATTTGTGTATTCATAAACTTTTGTTGTTTTGCTTTCTTTGGGATAGATAATAGAGAAAAGGCGTCGAGATCGGATAAATAACAGTTTATCCGAGTTGAGACGGCTGGTGCCAACTGCTTTTGAAAAACAAGTAAGCTACCCTCACCCCTGACCACTCCAACCAAAAAGCTCAAACATCTGATTCTCTCATCTGGGAATGTGGGTTCCTGTTAAAGCTCATTAAAATAATGGTGTATGTGCCCTGATCTGGCACAGAGCAGTGATTTCAATAAAATGCTTTGTTGTGGCAAAACTATTAAAAACATAATCCATCGTGAAGTTGAAAAACATTTCCATTCTTGAGCTTATTTTTCCCTTAAGGGTAACAGTGTTCATGCTTTCTCTGTTCTTTCTATGAAGACCAGTAGTGGTTTTGTTTAAAACCAAGATGTATGTAGTATTTTTTTTTAAAAAATGTGAAGTTTCATTTTTGTCTCAAACAGTTAAAAAAAAAAAGCAAGCTTTTTATTTTAAAAAATGATCAAAGCCCAGGACATTACATCTCTAGCTCAGTTTTCTAAATAATAATAGTAATAAAATTTATTTACCAACCCACATGGTTTCATTTTTAATCCCTGGGTTAACAGTATGATGTTCGATTTGGAGCATCTTTTTGGAAGTTTGGTAAAAATCAAACTAGCCGTATGCCCGTTTCAGAATTCAAGTATTCCTTTACCCCTCCCCACCCCCACCCCACACACACCCCAAAAAAGACTTTGCACACTTAAAAGAGTAGGAAGCCAAATATGTAAATCTTTCTTTGTCATTTTGGAAAAGTTGTTTCTCCTCCTGCCACCATGGCTAATGGCATAGATTTCTAAGTGCATCTTTCAAAGAATGTGGCATCATACCCTTGTTGAAAATACTTTCAATTTATTTCAAATAGAGTATGAGACAGCAGCTGTTTGTTTACTTCATTTTGTTATTTACTTCATGAACCACAAACATCACAAAGCCCTCGGAAATTATCCAAAAACTGCAATTTTGTTATTAGTCACTTTCACTGAAACTACTGTTCATCTTCATGGAAAAATTGAACACTGACAGAAGTACAAGATGTAATATAAAACTGATTATACATTTTTAAGAGAAGCACAGGCACCCATTCTGTATGCCGAAACTGTCTTTGATTAGGCAAATGTAAAGTGGAAATTGTAGTTTTGATTAGTAGCAGTAGGCTGGAAATGAAAATATCAGTAATCAGGTTTTTACTTTGAGTACTGAAAAGCCTGCAGTTATGAGGAACCATCATTTTGGTGTGGTGTTTTGTGTGTGTGTTTTTGTGTGTGTGGGTTTTCTTTCTTTTGGTATGTTAGATTATTTTTTCCCCTTAAAGGTCAACTTAAAACAAACCTTAAAAGCAAACCTCAGTTGTTTGGCAGTTAGTAACCATAAACACAGACTTTCCCATTTGCCGAGCTTGGCTACCAACCCTTAGTGAGCTGGCCCTGTCACAATACCATTAGGAGGACGGTCTTTCAAAATAACTGGCATTGAGCTGATAATTTTCACAAAACAAGTAACCCATAGGAACCAGAAATAAACTTCAGTTTCCTTTTCAGAAAAACATATTGATTTAATTATTTAGCTCTTCCAGGAAATTAGAAGCCACCCACCCACAGAAGTCTGAGACAGTTTGAGATAGCACATTTTTCAGTTGGTTTCCACAGGTTGCCTTATTTTTAAAAGCGGGAACATAAAAATACATTCCCAAGACAATTTTATTAAAAACTATTTTAAAGGGTTTAAATATCCTTACATATTGCTGATGGTTACTAGATAAGTAGTAAATTATGCTTTCTTATTTATGATCTTGGAATTCATAGTGACACCTGCTGGTAATTATTGGAAAAAAATATTAAACCTTTTTTATTTTTGGTTCTGCTTACCCTTGGTCTAGTATGAATTACCTTAAAGACTTACTAAGATTTTTATTTATTTATATTTTTTAAGCTAGAAAGACTGTTTTATTTTAAAACATTGGAAAAACATTAAAAGACAAATGTCCCTTGTATAACTAAGAATGTTAAATATTTGGAAACTAAATACTCTAAAATGTGGTAGGCACTTTCAGAGAGCTAAATGTTGCAAATTATTCTACTGTATGTCTTCTTTAATACCAACAGTGTTTGATATGATAAAAAATACCAAGAAGACCCAACTAATTATTCAATCAAAGTCACCATGTCACGGTTCAACAATAATTTAAGATCCTATTTCCTAATCCTTTAGAGTTGTATTCAAATGATCTAGACTTCAGCATTATGTAGGATTATTGGTTGTTCAACATAATTGGATAATAAAATTAAGTATACTATTAACCAAGGTACTGATTGGATGCAAAGTTTGAGATTTTCCCCAAATATAATAATTTTGGTGGAGTGATATTGGAAGTATAGTTATTCTTATGATAAAAAAAATTATTATGCCGTTTAGTCTTTAAAAGTAAAATGGCAAGTATCTTTCATTAGATGTGACATAGTAATTTACATTTTTATTTAAGTTTGGAAGGAATTCAGATTTTTCTGCGAAAAAATTAAACTTAGAATTTTCTAGTGAGAGGAAAAATTGAAAATCCAGTGTAAAATGTTCCAAATTAGTTTCCATAGGACTTATAGGACTTTATTATTTGTTCATGCAGGGATCTGCAAAGTTAGAAAAAGCCGAAATACTACAAATGACAGTGGATCATTTGAAGATGCTTCAGGCAACCGGAGGTAAAGGTAAGTAGGTAACTTCATTTTCCCCCCTTTCCACCTTTCTTTTTTCATCCCCCCCCAAAAAAAATTGTAAGGAAGTCATAGTTGAACAGTTCTTTAACAAGCTGAGATAGGAGGTCCCAGACTAAAGCCGTGGAAATCAATGCTAATGGCAGGATTGAACTCGTGGGAAAGAACTTCTGGAACAAAAGAAGCACTTGACCCTGGGCTTGTGTTTGCTTTCATAATACTGTGGGAGTAAAACTCCATTCACAGCAGCTTGGTCAGATTTGTTTGGGACTTCAGAAGCGCATGCTGGAATCTGTACAGAACGACAAAACAAACACACAAACATCCAAACATAAACAGGAGGTTAAAGGCAATCTTTTTCTCTTTTTCTTCTTTCCCTTTCAACACCCCCCCCCC